TTATCGGATTTGGACCTACAAATTAGGTTTGATGATCCAAATAAGAGCCGAATCTGTTAACATAATTATAAATGAATCCGTATATGGATCAAAGTTTCCAAACTAAATTCGACCCGTTTCTAGGTCTACTTATTAATGTTATCATTGCTAAATCATTGCCATTTTATATTTTGAATATGCTTGAATTATATCAGGAAATAATGGAAACATCAATTTACCATTTTATGAAATATAGGCCCTTTTTTTTTTCATTTTCAAAATTTTTTTTTTTTTTTTTTTTCAAAAACGTAGACAAAAGCATATAGGATAAAATGATGGAATGAGGAAAAGTGACACAAATAAAAGCACATAGGATAAAATGAGACATAGTAAAGTAGTGGGTAAACTGAAATTTTGTATAAAATGTGAGAAAATGAAGGTAAAAGAGTCTCATATTGGTGAGAGGAGAAACATTGCAAGGGTTTATAAGAGGTTGGACTACTCTTCATATTGGCAATTGTTTTTATGGTTAAACCTCAACTTTCTTTGTGGTATCAGAGCATGTTGGTCCACGTGTGAAGCTCAACGGCTACACGTTTGTTGGAAAATTTAACATTATTATTATTATTATTATTATTATTATTATTATATTAAATTAAATAATTGAATGGAAATTAGAAGTGATGCCTTTTGTTAGAAAGATGTATCTATTCAAATGAAGAGTTGCAACTTTTGACTTTTCATAAATAGTCACATGTTTTTCAAAGAAGTATCTCAAATTCTATAAATAAGGAAGCACCCTATAATCATTAAACAACTTTTAATCAATACATATATTATATATGTATACATGCCCTTTAAGGGAAGGGACCCCCATTTTTTAAAAAAAATGGGGACACCATCTTGACCATTAGATTTGACTTTAATGAAATTCTATGGTTGTAATTAAATCACAGGCCACAGAATCTCAACCGTATGATTTCATTAAGGCCAAATCTAATGGTTAAGAGAATGTCCCCATTTTTTTTTTTTTTGAAAAATGGGGATCCTTTCCCTTAAAGGCTCAAGGGACCAACATTTTGACAAATATTTTTACACTTTTTTTAAACCTTTAGATTACAAAACATCCAAAGGTTCATATTCATTCATTAAATGACATGGATGTTTAAGTCAATTTTAACTAATATTAAACATAAAAATAAAATTCAAAAAGCATAAAATATGGAAGGTAATTAAAAATAAAAATAAAAAGGAAGAAATCCTAGTTTTAAGCGTGCATAAAAGAAAGGAGGTAGAATTCCATTGATTTGAAGTATTGTAATCTCCATCTCCCTCTTTGCCGATGAGGTCTACAACTTTCATAGGATTGATATGAAATTTGATGCCTTCTACAACGAATCAAGCTATTAGTCACTTGAATCTTCATTACATAAGCAAAATGTACAAAACACTAAACCGTATATTATTGTTCATATTTGTAGGGTGATTAAATTCAGTTTTGCAAAATCTTTTTAATTTTGTCGATTTAGCTCATTAATGATTTTTCTACTTTTTTTTAGCTTTTCGAATCAACCAAACAACTTGATTTCATTCGTCTGCACTTTAATTTTTTTAATTTTTTTTTTTATTATAGGAGTTTCGTTTCCGCTGAGTATTAATCCAATCCCTAGTATCACCTTATTTTTAATCATTCTTTTTTTGCTATTTATTAGGGTTCATTTTTTATAAAATGAAAGAGGATATTTCATCCAAGGCATTGTAGGGAGGGCGATGTTGGTTAAAATATTTTCATGTTTTTGTTTTTCTTATTTTTTTGATTTTTTACGCTAGGTTCAAAGTTTGATTATTGCTTTTTTTTTCAATCGTATCCTATTAGATATTAATTTTTAATTTACATTAGTGTTTTCTTTGTTAGTTATAATCCACATCATCATCTAAGTCATTTATGTTTAAAACTCTCCACATCACTCTTAATCTAGACCGTTGAATGTTATAAAATCTAAAGGCTACAAGGAAGTGTACAAATGTTTGTCAAAATATTTGTCCCTTGATCCTATATATATATAGTGCACTAAATATTAAAGAGTTGCACCGAGTCCATTTGAGAGAGTTTTCAACACAATCGTGGTTCATGGAGCCTTGTGGTTTGGAGTGCGACTATTACAAAGACGTGGTCGTTGTATCTTGGGAGACAAGTGCCAATCAACCATGAGCACCATAGTGAAGCATAAACTTGTTTTAATGACAGAGTGTCCAACACTTGCCTCGACCATATTTCTAGATTTTTTCTAATCATTATATCATGTTCATTTAACATTGGTTACTCATGTGAGTGCGTTACTTTGATATATAATTGCATGAATTATTTCTTGATTTTCTATGTGATTTAATATAGCAATTAGATTACAAATTTTCCAACATGTTCCATGTTACCCAATTTATGTTGTCCACGTGTTTGACTTGAAAATTCGTCACGCATGAAGGAGTATGTGAGAATGTAAAGATAAATAAGTCTCACATTAGTGAAAGGAGAAACATTGAAAAAGATTATAAGAGTTTAAAAATCTCAACTTTCTTCATAAAATACTGAAAAATAACTAAAAATAAGCCAAGTATGAACACCCCGATATGTCATATCAATTATCAGGAAGAAAATTCGCTAGTTGTTGATGGAATTATTATAGTAGGTAGATAATAGATTTTATATTTAAATTCCAGTTAATTCCAGTGAGGATGATGACAAGTTGGCCTCCAAACTTTGGTTCCATACTGAAAAGACTTACGATTTTTTTCAAAACATTATATTTTTAATTTTCAAACTGTAAAATTTAAAATTTGTTTGATTACTAATTTCAATTTTTGGTTTTCAAATCAAGCTAAATTTTGAAGTATCTTTAAAATCAATTTAAGATCACAAGTTTAAGTTGGCTTTTATTACAAAATGTAATTAGACAGAGCATCTTATAGCTAAGCTAAGAAATACAATATTAAAAAAATTATTAGACTCTAAACTAAGAAATGCAATAGATTAAAAAGATTAAAAAAAAATGATAATGTTAGAAATAAAATATTCAACAGAGAATAGGGATAGAGATAGCTAGAGACGAGAGAGATTGGGAAGAGAAATTTAAGGTATTATTTCATTTTTATTAGAGAGCTTAATTATAGGCTTAGTATTTACATAAACTTTTTTTTTTTAATCTAATTACATATTTACCCAAAAGTGAACAGCCAGATAATAGATATAATATTTGCAATACTCTTGCTACTTAGTACTACGGTCTAGTCTAGTGATATTCATCTTCATTTGCAAGTGAGAGGTTTTAGGTTCGATTTTCGCCAAAAGCGAAATTGAACTACATTATTGTTTTCAGGGGGACAAAACCAAAATGAAGGAGAAAAATATGGCACTACGTTTATGAAACATTAATATGGTGGTGGATGTGCATAATGTTGCCTTACTAAAACTCTACCAAGAAAAACTCAATTGGATAAAAATCTAGTATAAGGTATGGTGGTGGATGCGCATAATGTTGCCTTACTAAAACTCTGCCAGGAAAAACTCAGTTGGATAAAAATCTAGTAGAAGGGAAAAGAGCATAGCGCTTATATTTATGTTTCAACATATTGTTGAAGACTTCCCTGATGAATAACTCTGCTAGACAATTGACTCTCTTGATGATAGTAAGCTTTGATTTGATTGGTCATCAATGACAAGTTTGAAGTGATATGACTTTAGTCTTCAAGAAATTGAACTTCAGTAGAACTTGCCCCTGAAAAGTGCGAAAATTTATGAAGTTTACAATAACCTTTTATATTCCTACAAATAACAAAGGGAATTGTTATTGGCACTTCAAAAATCTCATTCTACACTCCAAACTTTCTATATTTGGAAAGAAAAATACACTTGTGAATAGTGTAGAATGAGATTTTTGAAGTTCCAATAACACTTCCCATAACAAATAAATACAAAAAGGAAATCTTAGATTCGAAATAAATTAAGAGTAGTTTAAACTCCATCATAAATATAAACCATACATACAAATAGCCTCATATGGCCTTCAATAGTTCTATAAAAATATGAACTCTTTTAAGAGTATGTAGCAATAATATAGTAGTATTTTAATCTTTGAGATTGACATAATTCCTCACTTTGGTCCTTAAAATTTGAAATCGATATATGTGGTTCTTGAGTTTGTCTACCATCAATTATTTTGGTCATTTCGTAAAAAATCTCTCTTAAAAATAAGGACCAAAATGACAAAAATACCCTCAATTTTATAAACAATGGGCCAAAATGATGTGAAAAATATTGAGGGTATTTTTGATCATTTTTCCTTATGTAACATAGATTTTTCATGGAATGATGAAAATAGCAAAAATACCCTCAATTTAATAAACATTTTGGCCCATTGTTTTTAAGAGAGATTTTTGTCATTTTGGTCCTTATTTTTAAGAGAGATTTTTCACGGAATGACCAAAATGATTGATGATGGACAAAATCAGGGACTAGTTATATTGATTTTAAATCTTAGGAATCAAAGTGAATAGTTATGCCAATTTCAAGGGCCATATATAATCCCGCTCTTGTAGTATTCATATCATTCTCTTATACATTTAGTTTTATGTTGAAACGAAGAGCGTCTCTTGCTGACAACGTGTTAGAAATAAAATATGAAATAAAGAATAAAATTGAGACAGATTGAGAGAAGGAATTATAATTATCATTTCCTTCTCATTAGAGTGCTATTTATAGGTTTAAGATTTACATAAAAAGTGTTCTAACTAGTTACATCTTACATATTCACTTAAAAGTGAGCAACCAAATACTAAATATAATATTTAGTAAATAATAAATAAATAAATAAATAGCTATGAAAAAGGTGATTGCTTCCCTCCATATCTGTATCCGAACCAAATTCCCTCCTTCTTTCCTTTCCCTCGTTTTCTGCTCTCTCTCTCACTCCTTCCTCCCGCTTTTTTATTTTACCAAACACAACCACCACTACCGCCGCCGCGCCGTTCCAGATCTCGCCATCTCACCCACCACTCGCCCCATCACCTCACAACTTTCCCTCAATTTCAATTTCCTATTCCATTTCCTTCAATTTCCTCCAGTTTTTCCCGATCCCTCCTTTTCTCTCTCTCCCCGTCCCCAAAAAATTAAAACAAAACCTCAAAACCCACAATCGGGTCGGGTCGCTGGATGTCGGGCTCGCGGGCTCCAAACCCGCCGGCGCAACCGCCACAGCCGGTCATGCAGCAACCCCTGAAGCGGCAACTCCCCTTCTCCTCCATGAAGCCGCCGTTTTCAGCTGCTGCAGACTACCACGGCTTCCTTCCCGACCCCCGCCAAACCACCGATCAAGAAACCTACGGCATAACCGTTAAGACCCCTGTGAGTTTTTGCCTTTTTATTTATTTATTAAAATATTTATGTAATTTTTGGACTATTGTTTTGGAGATCTGCTTAATTAGTGAGTGTAATTACTAATTTAGGGGTTTTATTTTACTGAAATTAGTGATTGGAACTAGTTCTGATGCTTTGGATTTTGTTCAAATTGTCTGTTTTGACTGGGTTATCGTGTTAGTATTTGGGATTTAGGTGGAATTCTAATGCTGTTAGTGTGATTGCAGTTGGGGAAGATCTAGATGATGATAGTCTTCGTCCCCAGTCAACAAAGGCGGGTTTTTTGGGAAAATGAAAAGGCACATTAGGTTTTTTGATAATTAAGTGGGAGTGATTGTTAATTTATTAGGCTAGGGTATTATTTTACAATCTATAAATTGATGTCCTATGATGCCCTGACCTCTGTACTTTAACTAGTGGACGTGTTGCGTTGTGAGTGCATCAGTATGCGTTTAATCAAGAGTTGTTACTCGAATATATACACTATACAGTACGGAGTAGTATTTTGGTGAATTGATTGTATAGAAACTTGTTGAGTTAGGTGTATGTTTCCTATGATTTATTTGGGCCAGGTATCAAGTTTATTGATGGGTGATATGTGATTGAACAGCATAGAAAATATCTATGACTGAACAAGTTGCCTATTGCTTTTCATGTTATATGTTGCATATACTTGTTGGCAGGATCTTGTAATAGTAGTGCTAACTTCTGATAAAGTTGAAATGAATGTCAATCAACTCTTCTGATCTAATTTTGGAGTGGTTCTGTGGGTAACACTTTTGCTTAATAACTTTTTGTTAGAAGCAGCCCAAGTGCTTTTTCCTACGTATTCACTTGGAAGTTTTGACAAAACACCTATCGATCATTTCTCAAGAAACCCCAATGTGCTTCACTGATCCCATAAATCATGGTTGCTCATTTCTTCCAAACACTATAGAAAGTACTTTTGACACTTCCAAAAGCTATTACTAAGAACTCCAAATGCATTTTTTCAATTTTCTGTTGTGTGTTTGTCCTTGATGCATTAAAACCAACAAACAAAGATGATAGCATTGTTAATTGAAATAATATCTACTGCTTACATGTATATCTACACACCCAACAGTAAAAAGAAAATTTTAAAGAAATTGTTTGTCACTGCCTTTTCTTGGATTTGGTATTTGTTAGACCAATCTCTCCAAACTATGTTGATGACTGAATGAAATACCACATTGAATCTCTAAATGACTGTATGTTGTTAATGTCCCAATCTTAAGCTACTATTGAGAGATTCAAGTGGTTAGCTGATGTTCTATCTTTCGTAGTAACAGTAACATGTTATGTTACATGACTACATTCGGTATTCAGGACCTTTGATCATGTGGAATCATAACTGAATGTGTGGTTTTATCTACAAACGAAGATAATAGATCGTTTGGGAACACACATACAAACACACTCTCTCCTCTTTTGGTATCTGTTCCCCTTGGAGACTTTTAAGTTAATTTTTCACGTAAAGGCCCTGCACATATCTTGGGGCATGCTTCTTAAGGATGCTAATATTGTTAAATTCTTGTTGTTGCACTGGTTGTTTGCCTTGTGATTCTTCCGCTTTACTTATGATCAGCCTCTGTGTTTACTGCATTCGAGTGTGAACAGCGCATACAAAAGTTGTTCCAAAATAAAGTTTGCATGTTTCTTGATATGCAGTGTTTATTCTATTTAATAATTATGTATTGTTCATGAAGCCTTCTTGGCCGGCCTACCTTCTGGGAGTTGCCTTTCAATGCCAGTGGTTGTACTGCCTAGTTTTTTGTGTGTTCTGAATTTTTTATGCAGTATAGACAAGTTGGTTCTTTGTACAAATTTTTCAAACACTGTAGTATTCTATAGAGGAAATTTATCAAATGTAATTTATTGAATATATGGTTTAGGAAATAAGAGAATGAATAACAATTGGTTTTCCCTTAATGGCAATGGTGTTTATTTCTCTGCTGTGGCTGTGTAGAGGTTAGAATGCTCTAGAGATTAGACTGGATCTGTAGAATTTTGAATATGTGATTCCTTAAGTTTATAATTTGTAGTGTGTTGTCCCCTTGAAACTTAAGTTGGTTTGAATGTTCTTGTTAACATTGAATGTAATTGGATGCTTATAATAATCATTCTCTTCATAGTAATTATTTATGTTGAATTGAGCATTAGTTTTTATGTTTGTAATTATTTATGTGATATGGTTTGTTCATTTGGTGCTAATTTTGTGTTTTGGAAAAACTGAATGGTGGGTTAGCAGCTGAAAAGGAAGAGTGATGCAGTAGATTGCGAAGCCGAGTCTAGTGATAGGACAACTGCTCCTGGATACACTGACGTAGGTAACAGCCCCCTCCAGACTCCTATGTCAACCAAGGTTGGAAAGGCGAACAAAACATCAAGGCTTACAAAGTGCAGCAAATCTGGACCGTGGACTCCGGCTTCCAATGTGGGTGAGTGTTGCTAATAAAATATTTTGCCAAGGCCCTAGCCACTTATTCTGAGGAAAATTTGAATTGACTTCGAAGAATGGATTAGTTGCTTGTTTCATAAAGAATGAATTACTTGATGGTACAATAATTTACTAGAGTTGCATAGTCTATTACCAGCATCTAATCTGTATGATTGACAGGTTCTCCTTCTGGCGCTAATGTTACTCCGGCTGGTCCATGTCGTTTTGACAGCTCCCTAGGTAACAGAACATTTGACTATGTTTTTGTTAACTGATTTTCAATTATTATTTAGGCTCTTCATGAGAAAATTAAGTTAAAATTTTCATCAGCCATTTACTAGAATAAAAATATTACTTATTGTCTCCATTCAGGTCTCTTAACAAAGAAGTTTATCAATCTGATCAAACATGCGGAAGATGGTATTCTAGATCTCAATAAAGCTGCTGATACTTTAGAGGTGACTACTTTCCTTTCTGTTGTAATATATTCTGTGTAAATGGTCTATTAATGAGAAGTGTTCTTTTCCTGTAGGTCCAAAAGAGGCGGATATATGATATAACAAATGTTCTCGAAGGAATTGGTCTCATAGAAAAGAAGCTCAAAAATAGAATTCAGTGGAAGTAAGGGATTCATTGGCCTTGTTTCCCGAAATTTAACAGCTTTTTTCTTTCCACTTTATATTAAAATTTTGATTATCCACTGTACATTAGAAGTCGATTAAACTGATTGATTGGTTGGTTAGGGGACTTGATGTCTCGAGGACAGGAGACGTGGACGAAAATTATCCTAGTTTACAGGTACAAGAAACGGTGAACTTTTTTATTGGCATGCTTATATTTTGATGACTCAGTCTTGCGTCAGCTTTTGACAGTTTATCTTTGTTTGCTTAGTAGTACTCATGCTGTTTGTGTTTGTATTTGTGTCATGTTTTTTTCTCTCTTCTTTTTGGATGTGTCAATCTCCAACCTCACCATCAATGTTGAGGTTGCATTGACTTTGTAAGGAAGTAAATGGCCATATAAATCTGAATTGAACAGCTCATTACTGACTGGTTCAATTTCCTATGCAAATTGCTTTCCTTTTTTACACTCCAGCATGATATCGGTACTCAACCATGACATCAGTCATGTCAATGCAGTCCGCATGTTTTGTACGGTTCCATATTTTAGTGTAATGCATTCGAATATGAAGAATTGGCATGACGACACAGGATATTATGCTCTTTACTTGTTTGTTGTAGATTTCAGTCGACATGTTTTTTCCATTCCCAATTTCTGTATAATACATTCAAATATCGATTGATATGCCAAAGCAGGATTTGCGTTTGTGATTAGAAACAGTTTGCTAGGATTTTGTTTAGTTGAGCTTGCTAGATTTCAGACCACATTTGTCCAGTTCCACTTCTGTGTCGTGTATTTTAATTTGAATGACTGGCATGAAAAGGCAGGATTTACTTTCTCACCAGAAAGAGTTTTCCAAGGCTTTTGTTTGGTTGAGCTTGCTAATTACTGTCATGGTGGATTAAATTTATGTGCGAGCTGTTCCTTGAAAGTAGCAACGAAAATAATCTTTGCGTATATCTGAAGTACAGATATACTCATTCACTATGTTTTATAATTTGTCTCAGGCACAACTTGAAAACCTATCTATTGAGGAGCGCAGATTAGATCAGCAAATAAGGTTACTTAGGATGATGTTACTTTTTCTTCTATTATTATTATTGTTATTATTTCTATTGCTATTAGTTTTAGTATTATTATTATTCTGTTAGTTTTTGTTGCTGTTGTTTTTGGTGAACTCTGGGTTGTGCTGAGGCTGTTAAATTGTCCAGAGAAATGCAGGAAAGGTTGAGGGACCTGAGTGTCGATGAAAGCAATAAGAAGTAAAGTTTTATCCTTTTATGTTCACCAATATTCATTTACTTTCATGGATGGTCAACATTGATCGGTTTTCAACTGTCCATTGTAATGCAATGCATGCACACACTTATCTCAGTTTACCTTTTTACTCTGGTAGATGGCTTTTTGTCACCGAAGAAGACATTAAGGGCTTACCTTGCTTGCAGGTAAAATTTTGGTGTTTGCTATTCTCATCAATGCAACTGACATTGTTCTACATTCTGAATTTTCTTACAAAACGTTTTCCTTTGCGCTGTTAACCTGAATTTACAATTTATTTCTTCTGTCAGAATGAAACCTTAATAGCAATAAAAGCTCCACATGGCACCACTCTTGAAGTCCCAGATCCTGACGAGGTAGAGTTCAGGACAAAACGTTGTTTCATAAAATTTCTCTACTGGCTTGCATATCATTATTATTCGATCAAAATTTTCTTTCATGTAATAGGCTGTTGACTATCCCCAAAGGAGATACAGGATGGTTTTGAGAAGCACAATGGGTCCTATAGATGTTTACCTTGTCAGGTATTGTTGCTTCATGATCCATTATGATTACTTTACGAACAACAGTGAATGTCTTCTCCTGCTTGCAAAGTAAAAAATTACGATGAGTTTTAGTGATCTCTCTTGGTCTCTCATTGTAGTCAATTTGAGGAGAAGTTTGAGGAGATTAATGGTGTCGAAGTACCTGCAAATATCCCTGCAACTTCAGGCGCTAATGAAAACCCAGCTACAACAATGGTTTCAGAGGATAGAGGGAAGGATGTTGAACTGCAGGTACCAGATGATCATACAATGTCCGCTGATCCTACAGCTGCCCAGGACTTTACTGGTGGGATTATGAAGATTGTTCCCTCAGATGTTGATGTAAGTTTGGCTTCTAAATTGATTTTACCACTGCCTATTTGAAAGATGCGATATGCTACAAAAATTTTCTTAATTGGTCGGGTTCGGTGGAGTTAGCAAGAACTGTTTTCATTTCTCTTACATAATTTTGCAAACCCGGTATTTAATGGCTAACACGTTCTAGAGTTCTAGTTTTTTAGCCAAATACTGATCTTTTATGAACTTAAATAACTTTGACTTGTAGCGTGTCAACATTTCCTGTTACCTTTGCAGAGTGATACGGATTACTGGCTTTTATCAGATGCTGATATTAGTATCACAGACTTGTGGAGAACAGAACGTATCCTTGTGCCGAAAGATGTTATATTTCTTTTCACTTAGTTTTCTTTGTGTCTATATTTGACTGGTAAACAATTTCTTTGGGTGAATTTCTTGACCATATCAACTATAGCTGGGGTTTTGTGGAATGATTTGGGTGCACTTGATCATGATTATCCGTTGGGTAATGTCAGCACACCACCTCGGCCCCAAACTCCGCCATCCAGCTTAATTGAAGTACCTTCTACTACCAGCAACCCTACGAAGACTTGAACGTATAAGTGATTCGTTAAATGAATCTAATTGTAGATGCAGGCATGTTTTGGGAACACCTATGATGTCCAACCATCTCCCGTATTTGTTTGACCGCGGAGGTTGGGTTGAAGGTTCGGGAAGCTGCCCAAGTGTTCCAGGAAGACCCATCGAAGGCACAAGGAACAACGTAATGGTGGGTGGAGGTACCTGTTTCATTGTACAATAATGTAATATAGAATAAGAGGTTACAATGGTTAGTACATCCTTGTATATATTAGAGTCTAATCAGCAGGCTTTTGTTGGAGTAACCGGAGTGAAGAAGGCTGGATATCGGCGGATAGAGAATGTTTGTATGGTCGTACGACCCCATAATCGCCTTGTTATGTTTTCAATTATTCTTATGCTGAGTTAGAATTGCTGCATTTTCGGATTCCGAATTACCTTATGTTGAGTAATTCAATTATTCTTATGCTGAGTTAGAATTGCTGCATTTTCGGATTCCGAATTACTTCATGACAGTTCGATTTGAAGGGTATAGTCCCCTACTCTCTCTGTAAAGCTTTGGGTTTCTTCATTGATCTCAATTTAAGATTTGAATTACTCAAGTAAAGCGTGTTCATGCGATGTTGGAGATGCCCAAACACACGATTTGAACGCATGAGTATGCCCAGGAGTGATTCGTGCCTTTCTCTAAATAAAACCGAAAACCAACAAACATCGAATGGAGATTTTGATGTGGATTATGGCTACACAACCTAAAGTTGCAATGCAGGAACTCCAAGTTCAAAAAAACAAAAACAAGGACCATATAGCACACAATGAGTGAACACAGAAGCTAATTCTCCTTTTCGACTTTCTTTCCGATCCATCTGGCTACAACGGGAGTGAGAGCTACTGTGGGAGGAAACCTAATCGGAGAAGCGGCATTGTGTGCAGCGTATGCCAAAGCGAAGGTCCCAACCTTCTCTCCGGTCTTGCCATCGGACATTCCCACCTGAAAAACACCATAGAATGAAAGGTCATTCTTCCACATACAAAACGAGTCAAGTTTGCATTGGGTTCATATGGTGATTGCTTGTACCTATTGCAGCAGAGCTTGGACATCAACGCCGGCGCCGATGAGTGCATAACATAACGAAAACGAGATGAGGGAGAGAGTGATGGATGTGGCTAAGTATGCCCCTCCATATTTTGCTAGCAGGTTCTTGGCTTCATCTCCCCTTGACGACTTCTCTTCTCCTTCCTTTACTTCCTCTTTTGAGCTGAATATCTGCATGTTCCCATGACATTTTTTATCATAAATTGGACTTTGTCCGCTCCAAAACTTCACCACTACTAAAACTAGCTTTAGTGATACCAACTGTTTACTACAAATTCCACTGTTTGGTGAGTGAGAAAACACCATGGTTAGGTGAGTCAGTAAAACCTCGAGCATGTATAGAGCATTGGTAACTTTAATTAAAAACTCTCGGTACTGTTCTGTCACATCCTAGTCTCGGCTCCGCCGTAGCACGATATTGTCCGCTTTGGGCCTTGGCCACTCCCACACGGTTTTGTTTATAGGAACTCAGACGAGAACTTTCTAGTGGGTCACCCATCCTGGGAATGCTCTCGCCCAAACTCGCTTAACTTTGGAGTTCCGATGGAATCCGAAGCCAGAATTGACATTTACTAAACTTAGCGTACAATTGATGTTCCCTCAATCTCTTTAGAACCAGAGTGAGATGTCTAGTATACTCTACCTTAGATTTAGAATATACCAAAATATCATCGATGAAAACAATAACAAACTTGTCAAGATACGGGCGAAATACCCGATTCATTAAATCCATAAAGGCTGCTGGAGCATTGGTTAACCTAAATGGCATTACAAGAAACTCGTAATGCCCATATCGAGTTCGAAATGCTATCTTCGGAACATCCTCACGCTTGATCTTCAACTGATAATACCTAGATCTCAGATCAATCTTTGAAAATACACATGCACCTCGAAGCTGATCAAAAAGGTCGTCAATACGAGGCAACGGATAACGATCTTTAATCGTCACCCCAGTTCAACTGTCGATAATCAATACACAACCTCAGAGTTTCGTCTTTCTTTCACACGTACAATACTGGAGCTCCCCACGGCGAAGTACTAGGCTGAATAAAACCCTTCACGTGACGGTCAGCATGTCTTAGCTTCAGTTGGGGTGTGTCAGTTCACTTTAATGAAAAACCACATTTTACACTAAAAAGCCAATTCTAGTACTATTCACTTTATCATTTATTTTGTCCTTATCGTTAAAACTCAAAGTTTTGAAACCCTTTTCATTAGTTTTCCTTAGAGCATTTTCACTCATTTTGGTGGATTTGTATCTAGAACTAGACTTAGGACAAGTACTATTCATTTAACTACAAACTGTCATGGCAGTTAAATTCACTTTCCACCCATTTTGAATAGTAATTGACATGACAATTACTATTCTCAAATGTTTTAAAAGACGAAGGCGAAACCAATGCATTTCTGAATAGTCTCGCCTAGGCAATAGTCTTGAAGCGTAAGACAATAGTCATAGTACCTAAAATTATTATAACAATTAATATATATATATAACACTTTGTAAAACAATCAAGCAAGCTACCAAACAATCAAATATTTGACTACTAGTATTATTATTATTATTATTATTTCACTAGTTCACATCAGAAAGTCATAATAAACTAATAGAAACTAAGTTAGAAACATAAAATTAGCATTTTTTTTTTAAAAAAAAAAAATGCCCAAAATGATGTTGTTTCGAATTTGACCTATGTTTTTATTTATTTATTTATTTATTTTGAAAAGTTCAAACGCCCAGGTCACCTAGGCGCCTGAAGGGATAACCTTGGCGTTTAGGCTAGTCCATAGGCCACTCCCACTGGGCATAAGCATTTTCTTCATAGCCCCGTCACAAAAATAACCTAAGCGAGTTGTAAAACTAGTTTTTAAAAAACTCCTATTCTCAATGATTTATTTTATTTTAATGTATCATTCAATTATTTAATAATTATTGAACGGATGAGAATAATTTAAAATAGGTGACTATGATTATGATGCATGAAGAAAAAGGAGTCTCAAGAAGACGAAGAATGATAACCTGGAATCACTCAACCAGTGGCAACAAATTCACTTGACGTTGCTAATTGTGTATTCACTCACTAGACCAAGCCAAACGCTTGATTTAGGAAGGAGAAACAACTCACTTCAATTGCACAAAACAAGTAATGTTTTTTCATTCAATGTAGTCTCCAGTTCAAGGCTTTCTAGTACAATAATTATAATCGTCTACAAAATTAATAGACCTCAAGTTTCTATGACACTCTTACAGCTCCAAAATAACTTAACAAATTTCAAGGAGTCTTGAAGAGATAGGGGATAACTTGGGAATCACTCAGTACGAGCCAAGAGGTCGTGAAGAGATAGGTGGTAGAACCTAGGAATTACTCAAGCAGGGGCAATGGATTCGTTCGACGTCGCTAGTCGTGGATTCACTCGACAGGACCATGCCTAACACCTGATTTAAGGAGGAGAAAACAACTCACTTTGATTGTAGAAGACAAATATATATATATTTTTTCATTCAATCAAGTCTCCTATTTGAGACTTTCTAGTACAATATTAATAATCGTCTATAAATTAATAGATCTCAAGTTTCTATGACACCCTTACAACTATCAAAATAACTTGACAAATGCCTATGTGACAATAATTCGAACTTAATCAAGATTTAGACTTCCAATAGGCATGGGCTGGCAATTAATAGATTATAACTACTGCAATAGATTATACCACGTGTCTATATCTATAAAAAACATATTGTTTTGTTTTCGAGTGATTTCGGTTGCTCTTATCGTGCCAATGGGTAACAACAACCCAACGCTCACACAAGAAAACATCTTTGGCAGTCGACCATGCAATTCCGACTTCGGCTGGAGATGCCATTTTTGTAAGCACAAACAAAATTGGGAGGTTGAAAATGAAAGATTGTACAGAGTTTTGGTGTGGGAAGAGAAAAAATGATTTAGTATATATACAAAAAGTTTACAAGTAGCCTTTGGAATTTTTATTTATTTGATTTTTTCTTGTTTTTCCTGATTTTTTTTTCAAAACTTTTTAGATTTAAAAAAAAATAATTATTACGAAAAATAATAAGAACTGTTGAATGAAGTAAGACAAAAATATGAGAATTCTCCAATCTAAATATTTTCTATTTGTATTTTTATCCATATCTCGAATATCATATTCTAGAGGAATTTTTAATTGTGACGGGAATACAAGTGGTACACCACTTGTTTTAAAAGGAATGGTGGGTAGTTTTATTTTTTAAGTTATTAACTTTTTAGCACATATATCCCATCATTTGTATAATGACACATGATGTACCACTTTGTGTACTGGTCACATTGAAAAATCACTTTATCTTTTATCATATTAAATGATTTTTACTTACGTGTCTCATGAGAACCAAGACAAAAGAACCACAGAAAGATAATGGACCTCTTAGTGAAGAGCCCATAAGATCTTGGTCCATCTACCTTTCATTTCCCGTCACAGGTACATTGCAGCAATGACACAAGTTGAGACAAAACTGCAATGTACCCGTGACATGAAATTTATAGCACTCTTTTAGGCATATACAAAATTGGTCATATGAGTTTTTTTTTTATGATTTTTAACATAGGAAAATGTAAAACATTATCTGTGTGGCGCTATAAATCGATTAAATATATATTGGGTTCAACTCGTGTTTTTTTTTTGAAAAAAAAATTTCCAAAAAATGAAGTAAATGAGAAATTGCCAAAGATGATTAATTTATAAATTTCAATCCTTGAAATGATCATTTTTCAATATTTAATTTGTATATCGTCAATATTCCACCTGTATATTGTTACTATTTGATTTTTGTCAGTTCAACCATTGAAATTTGTATAATAATCCATTTCAGTCAATTTCCATTATAAAAGTGAGCTCAAACAAAGTATCAAGTTCGTTTAGAAAAATGTGACAAGCTTGAACTTTAATGTATCCCCAACATCCTCACCAAAAGGATCCAGAGAGGATCCTGTTGGCATGACTTTACTAGAGAAATTGCTAAATCAAACACTAGATTGTTTGTACAAATGTATAATATCAGCAAATTCGTCTGCAATCATATTAGATATGTGTATGATATGTGGAAATATCTCATATCGACTGTGGAGCCAAAAATAATGAAGAAGAATATGGAGGTCACACGTGGATTCTAGGGTGAAAAAGACCAAATTACCCTCGAGGAACACCGGAACTCATATGTGCGAGCAGTGGACAATCATCATTCAATCATGTCAAAAGTGCCCCAAAATAGATATTTATTAAAAACCTATTTCATCCATCCTCATCAAATCTTCTCCACAAGGTAACCCCAAAATAATTCCTTTCTAATTATATTAATTAGCTAATTAATTTATTAATTAGCTA